ATATTTTGGAAGTGATTTTCCCTTGTCTCCTTCCTAGGGTTGAGAGAAAACGATTGGCCCAGATTGTCCAGTAGGCTTTCATATCTAAGGTGGGACTAGAACTCATGTTCTCCCTCTGATGCTTCAATCAATAGATGAAATTTCTCTTTCAGGGGGAAATTTAATCATAAACTCTCAAATGTAATGATGATTAAGACCAAATACAACATTTTATTACAGCTGGTCCAACTAAGAATGGTCGGTAAAGAGGACAGAATTTGCAGAGGTGGCAAAATTAACTTGCTCGATCAGGAATGAAATTCTTTTCTTTAATGTATTACTTTTATGGAAGGATTTTATACAGTAATTAAAACATAGATTTAAATAAAAGAAGAATACAGAACAAATGAATAAAAAGTAAAAGTGAATATAAATTAAAAAAAGAAAATATTTATTTATTCATTTATTATATGCTGCTCATCTTGCTACCAAAGAATCATCTTTTGATCTTTTTTTACAGCAGTTACAAATTAATGTTACCATCTACCCACTCTCTTTAAGGTTAAATTATTATTCTCTTCTTCCTATATTGTACGCTTTCAAATCATCATTATATCATCTATAAGTCACCAGTACATTTTTTTTTCATTTTTAGCAAAATATCCATAAAGAGTTTCTAGTCAAAAATATGTATGCTTGTCATCCCTGATCAAGCAAGTTAATACTGCCACCTCTCTTTACCAACCATTTTTCCCTTGTAGGTATTTTGGACTCGTTTATGAATCTTTCAGGAATCTTCAGACTAGGAATGAAAAATTCATAATGTTTTCTTCCAGTTCAAATTTGAGTCCCTGAATTGTGGAAATGTATTCCCCTAACGGAAAATCACTCTAGGCATTTGCATCTGAAAGCTTTCTCTGCTTTTCATTTTTTGCCACTCCATCTCACAGGGAGAAACATGAACTTGTAAATATGAAGAGCCAGCTGGAAGCCTGTCACTCAAAGGGAGCATGAGCCACTGAATATGTCTTACCACCCATCTAAGAATCCAATGTAAAGCATCTGTATCTCTGGAACACATCTGCTATAAAAGAGACTACAATTTCAGTACACAGTTCCCATGTGGAGCTACAGTGCTGTTAAATATTGTCCTAGTATTCGATTCAGAAGGTTAAGAAGCTATAGAAAGTATGTCTCTGTGTACACATGTGCACATTTAAATGCCATGCTTAGCAAAACGTTCAGAATGTAAAGACAGAAAATATTTAGCCAGGATAATTCTTAACATCTATTCTAAACAGGAAGCAAAAGTGGGGGAAGCAAAATTCCTTTGTTCTGCAACTTCTAGTTGTAGATTTAAAAAATTCCTAACAAAACGAGAGCACTTTTACAGTTGATGGACTGTCCTTCATTGAATTCATTCAAGTGGAAGATAAGACAACTCTCTGGCAGGTATGTTTTAGTTTACATTCCTATGCAAAATAGGGGGATAGACTAAATAACTCTAGAAGCTCTTTCCAGGTCTGTGGTTCTATATGTCCATATCCAGTTGCTAGACGTGCCAACAGAACTGGTAATTACATTTGCATACCAAATGATTCCTCCAACTTTCCATGAGAAAACACAGCTCTACTACAGGTTGAATCCCACCCCTGGATTGCACCCCAGCTTCTTCTCCTCCTCCTTCTTCTTCTTTTTCATTGGAAGGGAAGCTTTGCTGGAATGCAACACGGAGTGATCTAATTCATCATTCTAGTTTCAATGCACCAGCCTCCTGACTTGAAGCCCCTCACTGTTATCCTCATGAAGTTTGCTAAATGCATTAGAATGTCTAATTAAATTGTGGAAGCTTCAGAAATTTCCTTTCTCCTTTAGGTTTCTCCTTTTTAAAACTAACACTGTTTTTCTGAGAGATTCAGAATGGTTTGTTAATTCAGTTTAATTACAGAACTGTGTTTATGATGTCAGAATACAAGAACATTGTGGATCTCAATTATACTTATATTGCCAGGATTTGCTGCAATCATGATTTGAAAGTGGGTCAACTTCTTCAACTTTAGAAGGTACCAAGCCCAAATGAAATGTGGTTGCTCTGTTAAAGAGGATTCTGCTAAGAATAACTTCACAGAACTTCATTTCAAGGGTTTGGAAATGCCAAAAATTAAAACGAATGTTTTTGTTTTTTTTAAAAAAACCTCTTTCCAAATGTGTATTTTGTGTGCAGCTATAAAAGCTTAGGCAGAAAGTTAACTTGATGGTGACCTTTGGCCACTCACTTTGTCACAATCTATGGAAGGCGACAATGGCAAACCACTTCTGAAAAACCTTGCCAAAAAAACTGCAGATACTTATCCAGGCGGTCTCTGACAGTCAGACATGATTGATGTATATATTCTATGCAGATACTGTGCAGGACCCTGAAACTCCCAGGCCTCAGTGAGGGCCTGGAGTGAGGAACACACATATTACTCATAGGAGTGAAGAAGGGATCTTTTGAATGGGTTGTATTGAAGCAAAATATACAAGACGGTGGGTGCATTGAAGCCTCACTCCTTTCATGCATGCTTTGTATTTGATCATGATTCTATACCCACCATCTTGCGGATTTTGACACACACACATTTATACACAGCCTGTGCATACCACTGAAATCCTCCGTGGGATATACAATTGTAAGATGGGGCTTTAGAGGAGGGGAAACAGTAGGCCTCATTTGATGCCCTGTTAAACCAGGTGGTTTCTTCTGATTAAGTCCACGGGCTGGTGGAATTTCCTCTTGTGTTTGGCAAGGTTTAGAAATGTTCTTCCATAACTTGTGTTTTACATATTATGTAGCAAGTTATGCTTCTTTGCTTGCCTTTGGTAGGCTTCACCAACTCTCCTCCAAATGTGTTGGATTGTAATTGTGGAAATCCATGCTGGTATATCTGAAGCAGTTTAGATTGTTATACCATACAAAGTGTTTTGAACAGCTGAATATACTATATTTATATAAATAACCTTATAATAAACTTGACTTAGATATTTTGACTTAATCCTTATTAAGATGCTTTCTCCTCTTGCTTCAGATGCTTTCCAATCTTGCTTCAGCAGATGGCAGCACCTGGCTGGGCTGAGAAGATAAGCAGTGTCAGGTCTGGCTAACCCTTGGATGATAGATTACAAGGCAGTCCCAGGGCTATAAACTAGATTTAGAAGTTGAAAAACATCCTAAAATAAAGCAATAGCAAGCTTCTTCTGCACCGTGGCAGAGACAATTTCATGGGCATGTCCATGAAATCACTAGGAATTATAATCAACTCAACTTAGAGGTTTCCCTTTTATATTTGAGATATTACCTTTCTACAATATTAAAATATTAGTTTACAGAAAGAAATCTATACATTGGATAATCTATTTCCTATATGGTCCTTTGAGGCAGCTGCCTGACTATTTTCTCAACAATCTTCCCTCTGTTTGAGACTGGAAGACAATTGTCTTGATCTTGGATCCAGCATGATTACTTGAGGAGGCTGGATGGATCGTGGCCTTCTTTAAAGCCAGCAGAATCACCTTCCTTTTGAAAGAAAAAATTGCCATCAAAAATATTCAAATGCATGTCAACTCCTGGATGATCATAAAGTGGTTGGTTTGTAAGGACCTTGAAAACAATGCCAAGATTACCAGATGCCAGCAAGGATTTTTCAGGGATAAATCTTGTCAGATTAACTTTATCTCATGGATAAGTTCCTCATTATATTGAGGGTGTAAATTGTAAGTAATTATCTTAACTTCAGCAAAACAGATAAAGTATCCCATAACATTCTGATCAGCAAGCTAATTAAGTGTAGTCTGGAATGACATGACAACTACAGTAACTGATATATAGCTGGTTTGAAAAGCACATTCAAAGTGTTCATCAATACTCATAAAACTGGAAAAAGATATTGAGTGGGATGTCAGAAAGTTAGTTTTATTGAAAGGAAAAAAAGGATTAAGTTACAGAGTTTTGGAAACTGCATAGGTGTATTTTAGCGCCCCATACATCAACAACTTTGTTAGAATGGATATTTTATTAATCTTCTTACTGACTACCACTTGAAGTTATGGGGAGGTTGTTACTCACTTTGTTGATATAGGAAGATTATGTGGCTCAATTTGATAGGTAGGTAGGTACTGTAGGTAGAGATGATAGACAGAATCATAGTTTCCTTTTTCTGAAAGCAATATTGTGCAGAATGCAGGAAATGAGTAAGAAATAGTAATACTATTAATCACAGTTAGTGCTAACAATACAGTTGTTGATTGGGAAAGGGGGAAAGAATACACAGGAATAAGGAGCCAAATGGTATTAGGAATTAGAACTACATTAAAACTGCCGAGAAATTCTGGGAGATGAAGTCTACCCATCTTAAAAGTCGCTAAAGTTGGGAAACACTGCTAAGGCAATCTATCATCATCTGTCACAGCCATAAAATCTGGAACCTTTGCTTCTCAAGTTGCAAGCAGCCTCAGTCGGCTGTGATCAGGACCCTCAAATTAGATGGCAGCAAAGAGATCCTGAAAAACCCTTTGGGGCCATATCGGGGTCACTCCGATTTCTGCGGCCCAGCTCCAGATTGGTGTGTAAAACCTAGATTGGTGTGTGGTATGTGTGTGTGTGTGTGATCGGAGTGACAGTCCCACGCAATTAGACTTTTGCAAATCTTAAGCTACAGCGATCGATGCTGAGATGCCGATTAGCTGTAACGCATCTCTCTCTCTGTGTGTGTGTGTGTGTGTGTGTGTTACTAATGATCGGCACATGCCCAGAGGCACTAATGATCGGCACTTTGATCTCGCTGCGCCAGGAGCTAAGCATCACAGCGGAACATCCTCCTCCTTAGGAAGCCCCGCTCCCTCTCCGGAGCAGACCGCCGCTCTCGAGAAGAGCTTCCCGCAGGCTTCCTCTGCTCGGGGAGGACCATGCCGGAAGGCTAAGAGGCTGCTTGCGTAGTTTCCGTGTGGGCTGGAAGGGAGCGAGAAGGAAGGGGAGGCGCTATCTGAAGCGACCAGGCAGCAAGAGCCGCGGCGGCGGCGGCGGCGGCGGCAGCGCTCCGGGCAGCGGCTGGGACTCGCCCTGGCGTCCGAAGAGCAGCGGTAGCAGCAACGGCGGCGGCGGCAGGCGGGGGCCAGCCAGACTTCAGCCCTTCCCTGCCAGCATGGAGATCGAGAAGGAGTTCCAGCGCCTGGATCAGGAGGACAGCTGGGCCGCCATCTACCAGGTGAGCGAGGTGGGAGAAATGCCACCGGGACCTGCCCGGCCGGGAGCGAACCGCGGCTGCTTCTTTGTCCGCCGGTCCAGCAGCTCCTTTTTTTTTTTTTCCTTTTCCCCTCCCTCCCCGCCTCTTCCCTAGGGACTCGCACTCGCTCCTCGGACAAAGCTCTCTTCGCCTTTACCTCCCGTTAATCGCGTCGCGATCGGCTCCCAACTCTGATCCGGGCTCTCTCCCTCTCTCTCTTTTTCCGCGCGCGGCTTGGCACGGCTCCTTCCGACATCCAACGCTGGGACTTGGAGGTGGTGGTGGTGGTGGTGGGGCTCCATTTCTTGCATCCCTCACCCAACTCCCTTTAAAACGACCCCGCTCCCGGCTTGTAAGGCTTGCCGGGGAGAGGATGACTTGCATTGTGCGTGTCCTGGACTTGATGTGTTTGTGTGAGTATACTCCCCCCCCCCGCCCCCAAAGACAAGAAGGAGACGAAGATTCAACCAGGATCAAAGGAAGTCAAGAACACCCTGTTAATACAGATGGACGCTCTGCTCAAGGAAAGGAGGGGGCAGATCTGTAGGCCATCCCTAATGGACACCAACGAGGCTCTCTTTTATCTTTGTCTACCCGTTGATCCCTTCGCTGCCCCTCTACTCTTCAGGTCTTCCAGGGTGTGCCCCCCTTCCCCCCCACTATGAGGTGTCCGGAGGGAGGGAAATCAGCTGACTCTTGAAGATAGGCTTGCTTGCAACTCCTCCATCAGGGCGTCTCTAATTAAGGGTCTTTTGCGCAGTGCCCCGGAGCAATTATATGAAGGGTCCATGTCCTTGTCTGGAAGCCAGTAAGGCTAATTATTTCTCCCACACACTTTTTTTTTTTTTTGGTGGGGAACTAAAAACCTGATCCCCCTTCTAGACTTCTGTTCCCCAGAGTTAGGATTTACAATCTCTATCTGATTGGTTGCTTACCAAGAAAAGCAGCGGCTCTGCTTATAAGTTGCGATCTTTTATAGATACTCACCATTTCTAACCACCCCACCCCCCCAATACACGTGTTGCCTGGAGAGTGTGGAAATGATGTCTAAATGTGTTTTTTGTTTTATTATTTTTTCCCCCCAGCTGCAGACTTTCAAGAACAGTGAAAGTACTTTTTTCTTTGTTTCTGGTAGTCTTTGCGATTTGACCTCAACTATGAAACATTGAGTTCTGTGCCACACATAGCATGAGGTGACTGAAGCTTGGATAAGTTATAACTTTGCTTGTTCTTTTGAACCGCATTTGTCAAGTTGCGTGGGATAGAGGAAAGGCCCATTGAATAGATCTTTGGATTAAGAGGGAACACTTGTGTCCCATAGATTAGAAAGGATCAATACATTGAATGCAGTGCTGTCGACCTGGCAAGTTAACATTATTGTATCTCATTGTGTACCACCCAAAGTCACTTTTGTTGAGTTGGGTGGCTCTAAAAATTTGATAAATGAATAGAAATAAAATAATAATTTAAAATGGACAAGGAAATCTAATGGATATATTGTTTTCTGGGGTAAAAGTCTTAAAAAAGGACCTGGTCTTATTATGTTGAGCTTAAATGGCACTTGTTATTGTTTGTCGGATAGTCAGCCACAGGTTCGGATTGGATTTGGCATTTCTATCCACTTATCTAGTCCTTCCCAAGGACCTTGGTTGTCAGATGTTATTATTTTATTATCTTTGTATGTATATAACTATTAAGGGCCAACGTTTGACTGCTTGGGGATTTTGGTGAGTCAATAACAAATCTCTGCAGAAGGGATGTTCTCCCTGACTCTAGAAAAGGGACCCCCATTTAGCATGGAGTTTTGTAAGATTTGTTCTAATGGCTATTGATGGTATTTTAGTTCCTAGGCTGCCAGGCTAAATCAATAGGTGAAATTAGCCAATATTCTCCCTGGTGAGGAGAATGAATGAATTTATCCCTTGCCATGGAATTTTGGAGACTGGAAAAGTTGCCTAAGCAATTTCTTTTTCCTTGTGATCATGTTAGGAAATATTGAAAAAGATCTTCTGTTAGGAAATATTGAAAAAGATCTTCTGTAAGGCTTGGCGAAATAATAATGCATACATCATCAAATTACAAATTAAGCATGCCATCCTAGGCATTTGCAAAACTGCTGATTTCAGTAGAGTTTGATTGATAGTTTTCAGAGCCGGGTATATCCACTGAACAAAAAGAGATCTCAAATTGTGTTGAGGGGGGGGGGGGTAGGGGAGTGGGGAGAGGAATACTCTTTAGTATGCTAAGCATTGAAAATTGGAATAACAGGATATTTGCTAATCTGGTCTTGAAATGTCAGTGACTAAGGTAGCTTAGCTTTTGTTTCTTAATTTTGTTTTCTTACTGTATCTGTACCGAATTTGGCTGGAAATCTGTACTGTATCAGTGAAACATAAGAAATTAGGTCAAGGTGGTTGCTCTGTCCCTGGAATTGTTACACTATGTGCTTTGCATAATATCACTCCTTAATGTGCTAGCAAGCTGCAGTACTCACTTTTTTTTTTTTTTACTAAAAGCACGAGTAGCGATATCTTGGAAGGCTGCAATTCTTGCAAATCCTTGAAAAGCGTGTATATTTGTTCTAGCGTGGACATTTTGAATTTGGGTCAGGAATAATAATTAGGTCTTTTCTAGCCTTTGAAGAATATGGCTGAATATTTTCTCTGTGAATCCCACCTGGGCCAGGTTCACCGTGTCCCCCAAGCATTGCAAGTTCTGTAGTCTGTTTTATTTCCTCTCGTTCTATTAACCACCTATCTTGCAGGGAGTACTTGGATAGAAACATCAGCAATCCTATTTAGTTTCCCCTTTCCCATCTATTGAGCTGTGAGCCTTCTGCATTTCCTGATATTTAATTATAAGGCTATGTCGCTTAGAGATGTCCCTGTTCTATTATGATCACTCTTTCCTTTATTAATCTGTTTACATGAACTGCTTTTTTTTCCCCCTCACGAAAAGCCCGTAGTACACCTATTCACAGTGCATGCTTCATAACAAAAGGCTTCATTTCTTTAGTTTAGATGAGCTCAAGGCATAGCCTTTTTCGTCTTCATGCTGCTCTGCCTTAAAAGAAATCCCACATAAAAGCAGCGAGCTGTTTTTCTTGTTGGACTTCTGCAATAACCTACAAGGCTCTGCCTCCTGCTTCTCCAAGTGAAAAATTAGCTTGGATGTGGCAGATAGCTACTAATTTAGTTTTTCAGTGGGAGTAGATGAATTTGTGAAGGGCCGGAGCATTCAGGACTGCCAACTGGGATTGCTTTCTCTTAGCTGGATAGCCATGTTTTAAGAACTCACTTCCAGGGAAAAGGGAAGAAGAGCAGGTTTGTAATTTCTGGTTTCACAAAGGCAAAGCAAGTCAACAAAGCCTCAAAATAATTTTATCTGAACCGTGAGCTCTTGGCAATGTGAAGACTCAGTTCTTTGGAGAAGGCTCAGTTACTGTGAAAGGTAGAAAGTGGATGGTCAACAGCACAGTGAATAATTACAGGGAATCCTCCATTTACGACATTATTTGGGACCAGCATCTCTGTTGCTAAACGAGCTGGTGGTTAATAGTTACACCTGATTTTATAACTTTTTTTTTATTATGGTTGTTAAGCAAATCACTCAAACAGTTAAATGAAGGAGGATACTGCAATTGGCGAGCTCTCGATTTTGATTACATGACCATATGAATGCTATGACAATTGTAAATGTGAAAACTGGCTGTAAGTCACCTTTTTCAGTGCCATTGTAATTTCAAACGGTCACTAAATGAAGTGGCATAAGTACACAAATTATGTTAGAAAAAAAATAGGGATAGATCATCATGGATAAAATCTATGTGAATATTAGGAGTCAAAAATGCCTTAATGGCACATTATCTAACTAGTTTTGAGTAAGTTATTACGCTCTTGATGGTAGAACAATATAGTAATAAACCATTTTTCTAGTATATCTTGTGTGAAAAACATTTATTTACCTTATTTCTTTCTTTATGGTATTGATTTCCCCGATTAAGCTTGTGAGTGATGTACAACAAAACAAAAATAAAATAAAAACGTTATCAAATTAATTGAAAATAATATATAATGCAATTACAGGTTGTCCTCGACTTATGACCACAATTGAGCCCAAAATTTATGTTGCTGAGCGAGACAGTTAAGTGAGTTTTCCCCATTTTATGACCTTTTTTGACACGGTTAAGTTGTTAAGTAAATTATTGCAGTTGTTAAACAACATAGTTGTTAAGTGAATTTGGCTTCCCCATTGATTTTGCTTGTCAGAAGTTCGCAAAAGGGGATTCCATGACCCCAGGACACTGTAACCGTCATATTGTAAATATGAGTCAGTTGCCAAGCATCTAAATTTTGATCACGTGACCATGGAGATTTTTGCAGTGGTCATAAGTGTGAAAAACAGCCCTAGGTCATTTCCCCCCCCCCCCAGTGCAGTTGTAACTTTGAACAGTCACTAAATGTGCTGTTGTAAGTCAAGGAATTCCTATACATAAAGGGTTAGATGCCCACAACCAACTGGGACTAATGGCATGCTAAAATAAAATGCTTAGTAAAATACAGAGAGGAAAGGGATTCACTTCTAAGGAAAGTGTGTTTCACAACATAGGGTCTGTTACTTAGAAAAATTACAATCTAACCTGTGGCAGGAGGTGGCTTAGGGTGGGGTGAGGACGCTCTCAACAGGTCCTCACTAGAATTTCAGATCAGATAGTAAGATCTGATTTTTGTCAGTGCAGAACCTGATGTGTGTACCCTGGTGGCTTTTCCTGCTTTGACCATAATTAGCCAAGACCTGTTTGCCTTTACATATATGAATTTTTAATCAAATTTGTTCCAGCTGTGGAGCACATTTGTAATTTCAATCTGTGTGAATATGTGTTTGCTAATGACATTTTCCTTCTTATGCAGATAATTATCATCTTACCGCCTCTATCTCCAAGGCCTAGATTTAATTAAAATGAAGGCTGAATTGCTTGTCAT